AGTTTAAACTATCTACAAATCAAGTCAAATGAAGAACTCCTGATAAGAGTTTAAACTATCTACAAACTCAAGTCGAAGAGCTCCTAGATAAGAGTTTAAACTATCTGCATGTCCAAACCAAATTTAAAATTTTGAGACTCATTCACTACCAAGACATTTTGTCCGCGAACAAGTCTCAAGGGGCATTTGTAGACATCGAAATTTTAAAATTTTATTAATAAATGTCATTATTTATTTTTGGACATAAATTCAAGATAAATAAGATATTTAATTAATAAAGTTATTATTTCTTATCCAGCAAGTCAAATCTTAGGATAAGGAAAGAGATTATATCAAATCATAAAGGACCAATCAAATTGATGTCTTCTTCTCCAAGACTCTCTCTGCTACACCTATAAATTGGGCTCTTCTCAATGCCACAAAACGCACCTCAAAGTGTCAAACACACCTCAAAATATCAAACAAATCTAAAAAATAAAAGTCCCAAATTCAAGAGCTCTCAAGAAACCTCTTGATGATTTGAAGAAGTTCTTGAAGAACTGCCCGAAGTCAGTCCAATGGAAAATAAGGCCAAGAATATGAAAACGAGGCGACGACTCTTCCCCAAGAAGTAAAGAGATGACTTCAACTCCTCTCAAATCAATCCAAAACCATCAATGACGTTCAAGAAATATTCAAGTCGCGTTCGTCGAGAAGTTCAAACAACGTAGTGTTTGAGTCGGGAAAAAGCTTTCAAGCCCTAGAGTCAACGTTATGCAAGTTCAAATCCATATTCGAAGATCCAAATCCAAATCCATGAAAAGAAAAATCAGAGGAGATAAATATAAATTATATCCGCAATATCATTTGATCAAAATAATTTAAGTTGTACAAAATTTTTATGTTTTCTGTAAAACTTGTTGTTATATTCTCAATATCAATTATCTTCAATTTTGTTTTTATCAATATTTTGAAATATGATCATATTTGTAAGGTATCATATACGAATGACAAGGTTGTCTCCAGGGATTTGTACAAGTTAGTTGTGTTAGGGTATCCCTAAGGAAGTCCGTCTCTAGGTTTTCTTGTTCTCTCTTGAGATCTTGAGTTCTAGCTACTGGATTTGGTCCTTTATCGATCCATCTTGTGTGCTTAATTGTTGGTGTTAGGGCTTTTGTTTCTCTTTCTAGGATGTTTTGTTTCTCATTCTTTTTCTTCCCCTCACTTGAAGAGTGTAATCGCTTTCTGGTTTTAGTTTAGGGCTTTTTTCCATTTGGCTGAGGCTCTCGTTTTCCTTGGGTCTTTGAAAAGGTTTCGGATTTTTTGCTTAGTGCTTGTTGTTGGCTTCTTTTCATCGTGTCTTATGTATACTTTAGGGTTCCAGCGTATAAGTTCTTGTGTTTCCCTGGCTCTGATGCATTGATTGTTTTATTGGCTTTTGTGATTGTCTGTTTTGCCCTGTTCTTAGTTATTTGTTGCTTGGGTGTGGTTGTTCTTTCATGTGATGTTGGTTCTTAGCTGCTTGTGTGGTTCTTAGTGCTTTTGCTATTTTTGGGTGGTTTTTGAATTTAGATGGATCAGGATCTCGTAGATAAGCTTCTCAAGTTTAAGATTTCTAGTAAGGAAGAACAAGGGGTTGAACTTTCTGTGGATGATATAGCCCCTATTGTTAAGGAGTGCCAGCTTAGTCTCACACGGAAAGTTTTCGGTGATAAAAAGGCTAACTTAGTGGACTGAAACTACTTTGAATAGTATTTGGACTACTAAAAAGCCTTTTGCCATTATGAATTTAACTAATAATGAGTTCTAATTCTTGCTCTAGTGTGAGGAGGACATAGATAGGTTCTGCATGGAAAGACTTGGTCCATTTATGGACATTATATCCTTTTGAAATTATGGAATCCTATGTCCCTAGACCTTTCTTCTGAAGAAGAAGTCATTAAAATTTGAGTGCATATCCTGAATTTACCCATGTACTGGATTTCTGTTGACATTGGTCTTAAGATAGGAAGGAGAATTGCCAAAATCTTAGATATCTAAATCCCCAGTGCGAAGGCCAACTAGGACAAGTAGTGAAGATGTAGGTATAACTCAAGCTGAATGAACCAATCCAAGAGGGTCTCTTATTAAGGTAGGGTCAGAATCCACTTGGGTGGATTTCAGGTATAAGAACCTGTAAAATTTTTGTTTTTATTCTGGGAAAATTGATCACTCAAATAGAAATTGCTTGATAAAATCTGAAGATGTTAAAAATAATGTCTAAATGTAGGTCAGTTTGGAGATTGGATTATAACTAGTCCAGGCTCCTCGAGTTCCATTAATTGGATAGCTATCGTATCTTCTTGAGCATTTCCTTTTGGGATCGATCTTCTTGCTTATCTAGCTTCTTCGAGTGGTATAGATTGATGCGTGCTTGGTTTTAGGGCTTCCTTCTCTGTGTTCTCCTCGTTCCTTCTTTCATTTTCATTCTGTCTTCATGGGGGTTGTTGTGGATTTGTCCCTAGGGTGTGATTTCTAGGATTTTTTTAACTCTGTCAGCTGCCTTATTAGTTTTTCTGCCTGTTTGCATATGTTATTTTCTCTCTTGCGTGTGTAATTTGGTTCATATTTGCATTTATCTGTATTATTTGGTATTTGTCTGTGCTAGTGCAATAGGGGGTTGTGGTGTTCTCAGGATGCTAGGTTTTGGTTGGGCTTGGGATTTTTAGACTTATTGAGCCTGAGATTTCTGATAAGCTATCTAGGTTTAAGTTGTGTGATAAGGAAGGATTAGGGGTTGATCTTTCGAATGAGGATATAGCTCCTAGCCTTAATGATTGCCAACTTAGTTTAATTGCCAAAATCTTTGGGGAAAAAAATCCAACTTTATCGGTCTTAGAGCTACCTTAAGTAGCATTTGGATGACGAAAGAACCTTTCACTATTAAATCTTTGGAAAATAATAGATTTCAGTTTTTACTCCAATGTGAGGAAGATAGAGCCAAATCCTAAAAGACAAAACCTGGTCCTTTGATGGCCAGTACATTCTTTTAAAACATTGGAAATCTGGAATTATTGAATTTTCGACTGAAGAAGAAGTCATTAAAATTTGGGTGCATGTTATGAATTTGCCATTACACTGGATAACTTCTTATACATGTGTGAAGATTGGGAAAAGGAAAAGAAACCCTTTGGATGTTCAAATACCAGAACCTGGAAGTCAACAAGGACAAGTGATGAAGATACTAGTGGAACTCAATGTCAATGAACCATCCTCAGAGGCTCATCTATAAAGGTGGGATCAGAATCCACTTAGGTGGATTTCAGGTATGAAAACTTACAAACATTTTGTTTTTATTGTGGGTGTATTGAGCATGCTGAGAAAATTTTTGTCTTGAAATATGAAGATGCGAGTATGTGTCAAACAAGGGAAAATATGAAGAATGGCTGAGAGTTGCTCCTATCTTCTCATTTGGGGACAAAACCATGGTTAGTAATAACCATGGGAGTCAGTCTAGTGATAAGGAACCATCTGTCAACCCAATTCAGAATAGGTCTCCTACAAGTGTTGAGGGTAGTGGTAAAAAACAGAGAGTCTCTGTCTCAGGGCAATTTGTTAAATGGAGGAGAGGGTAGTAATCAACCTGAAAACCTTAGTAACACCAAAGCCCCTGTGCAAGAGTCTATCACAGCTCTCCTTCTAAGGAGCAACCTGTGGGTTGCCAACCTAAGGTTTTGTAGCCTCAATCTGAGGATAACTTAGTAGAAGTGGCAATTCAGCCATCCACTATTGGAGAGAGAATAGTCATAAGGAAAAAAAATCCACTTTCACTAGGAAATCTAGACCTAGTAAAGTGCCCAACTCTGAGGTTATGCATATAGATGCTGAAGAGGGTTCTGTGAACCCTGTGGTTATAAAGATAAAGGGAAGAGAAAAAGTGATTCTCTCCTATCCAATTACCTCCCAAAGGAGGATGAGGGCTCCAAAGGGAAAAAAATTAAGTTTTCTGATGTTGCTATTCTGGTTGTGGTGGAAGAAATCATCCCTAACTGGTCCCATTGTTTCCAATTAAAGACTGTGTGTGGAATTGTAGAGGTCTGGGGGGGCCCTCTATAATTTCCCAATTTAAGGAGTCTTTAAGGACCCACCACCCAAATTTTGCTTTTCTTTCTGAGACTAAAAAACAAAAGTTTGTAGAAACCATGTGTAAGAAAATCAATTTTTAGGATAGATGGCATTATGTCCACCGTATGGGGAGGAAATGGGATTTTTTCTTACCTGGTCTAGTAATATTTCTATTATTGAGTTGGTTAGCCTGGATTTCTGTATTGAAGTTAAGTTTAAGTTTAGAAACCTGTCTGATATCTGTTGTGCCATTTTTGTTTATGCTAGCACTGAAGCAGAGGTTAGGCTTAAACGATGGGAAATATTAGTGAGGCAGAGTCTATCTTGGGGTAATCTTTTGTTTCTTTGTGGTGACTTTAATGACATTCTCAGTCATGGAGAAAAAAAAAGGAGGGGTGCAAAGAGAGGAATATAGTTTTTTCACTTCAGGAACTTTGTTAGTGCCTTAGGCGCCATGGAACCTTCTTCCATTGGTCACCCATATACTTGGTCTAACAATAGGGAGGGGAATTTTTTCATTGAGGAAAAACTAGATATATTCTTACTTTCTCCAGCGTGGTAATTTCAAATCCCTAAATCCCTTGTTAAGCACTTTACTCTTATATCTTCAGATCATAGCATGTTGTTGCTGGATTGTTCTGATATTGTTGTGAGTACTCAAAAAATATTTGTCTTTGATGCTAACTGGATTGATGCTGAGGATTATAATAGTGTTGTTGCTACTTCTTGGAAAGATCATGTGTCTGGGCATGCATTATATAGCATTCAGGATAGGCTTAGGCATATTAGAATGAGCCTTTTGAATTGGAAAAAGATTAAAAACTTGAATGCCAGACTTATTATTGATGAGTGTAAATCCAATTTAAGTGTCATGAGAGAGATGGGGGAGGGGG